AAAAGTAGGTCACCTTGACCTACTTTTTGGTCTACATTCTTGGAAAACCCAAGATGCATCAATTGACAAAGTTTGATGATTCTAAGCCAATAAATGCCTGAAATATTCAAAAGTACGTCACCCTGAACTTCTTTTGTGTCGACATTCTCTGAAAACCCAAGAGGCATAAACTAACAAAGTTTGATGATTCTAAACCAAAAACTACCGGAGATACTCAAATATAGTCATAAAATATCAAATGTAGGTCATCGTGACCTACTTTTTGGTCTAAATTCTCCGAAAACCCAAGATGCATCAACGCACAAAGTTTGATGATTCTAATCTGATATGTACTGGGGATACATAAATATAGCCATTAAAAGTCAAAAGTAGGTCATCGTGACCTACATTTTGGTTTACATTTATCAGAGGCCTAAGATGCATCTGCTGACCAAGTTTGATATATCTAAGCCAATAAATACCTGAGATATTCAAAAGTAGGTCACTGTGACCTACTTTTTTGGTCGGCATTCTCTGAAAACCCAAGAGGCATAAACTAACAAAGTTTGATGATTCTAAACCGATAAGTATCAGAAATACATAAATATAGCCATTAAATGTCAAAAGTATGTCACTGTGACTTACTTTTTGGTCGACATTCATCGAAAACCCATGATGCATCAACTGACAAAGTTTGATGATTCTAAGCCAATAAGCATTGGAGATACATCAGTATAGCCCTGAAATATTGAAAGTAGGTCACTGTGACCTAATTTTTGGTCGTCACTCTCCGAAAACTCAAGATGCATCAACGCACAAAGTTTGATGATTCTTAGCCAATAAATACCTTAGATACTGAAATTTAGCCATAAAATGTCGAAATTAGGTCACAGTGACCTACATTTTGGTCAACATTTTTCAGAGTTCCAAGATGCATCAGCTGACCAAGTTTGATGATCATTGGTCTGAAGGTAATCAAAATATGCCTTTTAAACAATTTGAAAACAAATGCCTGCAAAATTCTAAAAGTAGGTCACAGTGACCTACTTTTACTTAAATATGTTTTAAGGTCCCAAGATGCAGTAACTTACAAGATTTTATGATTCTAACCTTCCCAGTGTCTGAAATAATGGGATGAAATGCTTTAAAAAGGATAAGTCATGAAGTTCAAAAAGTAGGTCACCTTGATCAAGGACCCAAGATGCATCAACTGACAAAGTTTGATAGTCTTAGGTCTTCAAGTGTCCTAAATATGCCTTCAAATAAATTTGAAAACAAATGCCCGCAAAATTAAAAAAGTGACAGTCACAGTGACCTACTTTTGAGTTAACATGATGAAAAGTTCTAAGATGCATCTACTCACTAGATTTGATGATCCTAGTCCTTATAGTAAGCAAAATATAGACATTTTCATTAATTGTAAATTTAGGTCAACTTTGAAGTGACCTTGAGACCACGCCCTTTGCCCTAGGGTCATGCCTTGAGCAATTTTTTATCTTCAACTTATCCTGATCATTGTATGTAAGTTTGGTGAAAATCTGCCCAGTTGTTCTGGAGAAGAAGATTTCTTTGCAACCAGTACTTTTGGTTTTGTTTTCCTGATTATCTCACCTTGTTTTTGGGTCCCAACCCTTATTTTAGTATAAATAGTAGCCCTTGGGCCAAGGATACCCTGTGACAAATTTGACACTGATTGGTCAAGGGGTTCTTGAGTTATGGACCATATTCTAAAAAGTTAACGCACACCGCACGATGCACACCGCACACAGCACAAATGGCCATAGCATTAGCTTTTTGAGCCTTTGGCTCAGAGCCTTTGGCTCAGAAGAGCTAACAACAGAGTCTGACACATCTTTTTTGATATTTAGACATTTCACTTGAAAAAGACGTTTATGGTTATCTAACAAGTTGCTGAAATAAGAATCATCACTGTTCGAATACCTCCCATATACTCGCAAGGTAGCAAAAAAAATTGCAGAATCGCTCGGGAACGAGTTTGAAGAAAAAAAATAGATTTGCAATGAAAATAACTGCAAAATTTATTATAACAAACTTTTTCGGGGTTGCGTTAGTATTTTAACCTGAGGTATAGTCAAAATAAAGACGATAATTCACCTAATTTTCTCAACGTTTTTTCTCACTTCAAATTTACAGCCCCGTGGGGATCCGGGTTAGAATAGGTCCTCAGTACCCCCTTGCTTGTCGTAAAAGGCGACTAAATGGGGCGGTCCTTCGGATGAGACCGTATAAACCGAGGCCCCGTGTCACAGCAGGTGTAGCACGATAAAGATCCCTCCCTGCTCAATGGCCCTGAGTGCCGAGCATAGGCCTAAATTTGCAGCCCTTCACCGGCAATGGTGACGTCTCCATATCAGTGAAATATTCTGGAGAGGGACGTTAAACAGTATACAATCAATCAATCAATCAAATTTACACGTCATATTTACGTTCTGAACTCTCTCTACTGTTCATAGTCAATGCACTGAGTACATGTACGAGTTATCGTCCGTGTTTACTTTGTTACACTGTGAATACACAGAACGCATTCTCTTGGTAAACCGGTTCCGTAGGACATTTATCATAATGATTTTATCGATAGAAGAAGGATATGGAAATAACGAATAGTATTCAATCTCAACGTCCATTAACATTCTATCTACATGCAAAGGTGACAAATATGTTTCTAACAACGTTTTAAAAAGATTGTCTCTGAATGTTTGGTCTACTTACATTCATTCCTGGGTACTTGAGACCATGGTAACTACTGAAACTTATTCAACTTTTCTCTACACGCGTACAATTGGGTGGAAGAAGTATTGAGCAATATTTTCGGTCTGGGACATACTAAAATCATTTTTACTTTTATTTTTCTCCTTAAAAATTAAAATATTTAGGTTTTGAAACCTGTAACTTTCTAAAACCTAATACTTTTAGGAATTGAACAAAATAAACAACGGTCATGCAAAAATTATGCATTTGTCAATTTTCCCCTTTGTGCATCACAGTGTCGCTTTAATTGACAAGTAAAATATTTACTAACCATTGTATAAATTTATATTGCTAATAAAGTTACAATAAGATGGAGAATTTGTTAAAAAAAATGTCAAAGACTTTGCAATTTTATATAAAATATTTGGAAGTGGATCAAATAGGGTCCAAAAGACCAAAGAGTTTACGAAATGCAGAAAAAATCCCAGTAAGATTAAATATCAGGGAGAAGCATGTCTCGCTTTGAGAACTGATCCTACTCAGAATCAGCTCTAAAGAATTGAATAGTTAACTTTAAAAATAGCAAACCTGTAGTTCCATTTCATGCATGCTTTTAGACCTCGGTGATAATGCTTGAATATCTGAATGTAGAAATATTTCTTTCATCATTTCATGCTGTCTTTCAATTTCCTTTTTAATAATATCTTCCTCATCTTCCTTTTTCAGGATCAGTTTTTTTATATCATTAAGTTTATCCAAGTACTTCTTTCCAGTGAAGGTCTCCAATCTTTGGCAGATATCTGACATTGCTGTCCAGGTGTCATCAAATTCTGTCTGAGAGATGGAGGCTGAGCTCACATGAGCAGTCAAACTGTTCCGGATTAACCTAATTCTCTCGATATCATCACCCACTGTCACTTCTCCTGCTGCAGGCTGGACGCCCCATTTTCCTTTTGTTGGTTTAGGGATCATTTTGCAAATGTTTCTTATCAATGTGTATGTTAATGAGAAATCAAAATTTCTATATCCCGAATGTTTAGCTTCCTTCAAGGTATGCTCTTGTTCTGGGCGCAATATTTTATACATTGATGATGCTTTAACTTTGTTCTCAATTTCGGAAGGTGGAACCTCCATCTCTAGTATATCTCTGTATGCCTGATTTAACACATCGTTTGTTGCCATTCCAAGTTTGGCAAATCTAGTTCGGCCAGTCGCTATTTTCTGAAGAAAAAAATAATTCAGTTAATTATTTACAATGAATCAGTAACTTGTTGGATATACTTCTAAAGCCTCTATGCCAACTTGTAACAAGTTATATAAGAGATGATTTGAATTTTATATGCCACATTTCCAGATACAGTTGAACTAAATACTGAGATGGTTAGTTTTGATGTAACGAGCCTCTATACCAACACACCGCATACACTTGGACTGGAATCAATTACTTTTTGGATCGACAAACACCATAATCGAATTAACAAAAGATTTTCCAAACACTTTATTGGTAAAGGAATAAAACAAAATGTTAGAGAATAAACATTTTCCTTTTGATAGGAGAATTTTTCTACAAATGATGGGAACAGCGATGGTTACGAAAGTTGTTCTCGGGTTTTTGAGAAGTAAAAATCATCAATTATTGTTTTTTTTCCCGAACAGATCAAATGAAGATTTACAAGAATCTCATACTACTGTATTCTTAACAAACTCCACCAGTCTATTCAATTTGCGATGGAAAAGAGCTGATCAGAACTTCCCTTTTTTAGATATCCTTTTAATTAAGGAGAGTCTTAATATCATAACAGATTTATACTAAAAAAAACGGATTCCCACCAATACCTTTTTTTAATTCCTGCCATCTTTCACATGTAAAACTTAACATACCCTTAAATATAGCAGGACATGTTTGTAATCATTGTCATAGATGAAACCAGAAAAAATGGGAATGAAACATAATCCTACACCATCTTCATGTTACTATAGTCCTGCTGGACACGCTATTACAGCTGACCTAAATATAATTAATAACAAGAAAACATTGATGTAACCATCAATTGTCGCCCGTGAAAATATGTTCAGTCTATGTTCCTAATGATAATAATTAAACTTAATTACTCATTTTGTAAACTTTTAAAAATTTTTACAGAAGTTACGGTGCCTTTGATTAAAACAAGAGGCCCGCGGGCCTTATAGGTCACTTGAGCATTCTGCAACAACTTTCCAGTTATTTAATTTGATTCATGTTTTAAGCCAGATGCTATATGGCATTCAAAATTTTGAAAGAGGCACCATTGATCATAATAACAATACACTTAGCAGTTGCTTAGCTTGGTTTATTGATTTAAATATGCCCAATAATAAGTTCATAGGATCTTCATGAACGTTTCATGAACATTTCATGAAAAAAAAAGGAAATCCATGAATTATTCATGATCACCTCACAGGGGTACTGAATACCCATATGCAAGGTAGGGGAACAAAAATGCATTCAAACTAATCAGTAATATTCAGCAATAATCAGTAGTGCCCCTAACACTGTGAAATAAACCCCTGACCCTAAGTACACATATTGCACAAATTTTAAAAAGGCACCGTTAAAATTTCCTATCAAAAAATAAAAAAATGTTTTATAAATACAAAGCAGATTTCAAACAATTAATTTATTTTCAGTATATAAGTAGAGCCCCATCCCCACCCGGCTGACCCTGGGGCCTTGAAATTCAAAATTTTGCAAGAATAGGGCCCTTGCTCTTCATAACTATTTAGGTAGTTCATCTGCTTCATACCCAGAGACAGAGAAGAAAATTTTCAAAGATTTAATGTATATTCACTATATAATCAACAGAGCCCCCTCCCCCACACACCACAACCCCTGACCCTTGGACCATAAAATTCACAATTTTAGTAGAGGCACTCTTGCTCATCATAACTATGTACTTAGTTAGTTTATTTAATACCTAGGTGCAGAGAAGAAGATTTTCAAAGAATTCATGTATTTTCACTATATAATCAATAGAGCCCCACCCTAACACAAGAACCCCTGACCCTGGGACCATAAAATTCACAATTTTGGTAGAGGCACTCTTGCTCATCTTAACTATGCACTTCTTTAGTTTATTTAATACCTAGGAGCAGAGGAGAAGATTTTCAGAGAATTCATATATTTTTACAATATAATCTAGAGCCCCCCCCCCTCCTCTACACCAGAAGCCTTGAACCAGGGACCATAAAATTCACAATTTTGGTAGAAGCACTCTTGCTCATCATAACTATGCACTTATTTAGTTTATCTAATACCTAGGAGCATAGAAGGAATTTTCAAAGAATTTGTGTATTTTCACTATATAATCAATAGAGCCCCCCCCCCAACACCAGAAGCCTTGACCCAGGGATCATAAAATTCACAATTTTGGTAGAGGCACTCATGTTCATAATAACTATGCACTTAGTTAATTTATTTAATATCTAGGAGCAGAGAAGAAGATTTTCAAAGAATTCATGTATTTTTACTATATAATCTATAAAGCCCCCCCCCCTCCCACCAGAACCCCTGACCCTGGGGCCATAAAATTCACAATTTTGGTAGAAGCACTCTTGCTCATCATAACTAACTACTCAGTTGGTTTATTTAATACCCAGGAGCAGAGAAGAAGATTTTCAAAGAAATAATGCATTTTCATTACCTACTTATTTAGCCCTGCCCTAGCACTAGAACCTCTGACCCCAGGGCCATGAATTTCACAATTTTGGTAGAGGACTCAATGCTGATTACAATCATGCAAACAGTTTGACTGCTTGATGTCCAGGAGTAAAGAAGAAGATTTTTAAAGATTGCATTAATTTTAGTGGTTTTGGCCCCACCCCTCAGGCCCCAGGGGGGCAGGGATCATGAAATTCACAATTTTTTTTCCCTTCACCCATAGATGCTTTGTGCCAAATTTGGTTGAAATTGGTTCAGTGGTTGCAGAGAAGAAGCTGAAAATGTTCAAAAGTTTACGAACGACGAACGACGTACGACGTACGACGACGGACGAAAACAGATAGCAATAGGTCACCTGAGTTTACTCAGTTGACCTAAAAATAACTTCACATTAGATTTCCAAACTTAAAATCCGGAACAACATATAAGATTAATTTTAACATTGGCCGCAGCAAACACGATTCAAAAGATGTTGCTAAATTGAAACATTGTTGCGTTATAAAAATATATGTACGTTTCATGAATCACGTTCATTGCTGCCAAATTTTAAGTGAAGTTTGTGATCAAAGATATAAAATCTGTAATTTTTGAAGAATATTTTGATACATGGTATGGTTTTGAAATTTACGTAGCATTAGTGTGACGTTTTGGCGCCATTTTACATCCGTGATCAGATAGACCTGATCGTGTAAAAAATATATCAATACTTGATTTCTGAAGATATCGTTGTTTATTTTTGACGAATTTACTTGGCCATATTTTGTTCTTATTACATAGCACACCTGTACATGTACGTCATGCTTGCTTTCAGACCTCATTACTGCTGATTTCAGTTCTGAATTGATTGCTTTCACCATTTCATGCTGACTTACCATTTTAATCATTTCTATCACATCATCTTCAGTTTCAGATTCCCCTCTGAACGTCATTTTTTGAATAAGTTTAAGCTGATCCAGGTACTTCTTTCCAGTGAAGGTTTCCAATCTTTTGCAGATGTCTGTCATTTTTGACCAGGTGTCGTTGAATTCTGCTTCAGGTGTGGAGGCTGAGCTCACATATGCTGTCAAATTGTTTCGGATTAACCTAATTCTCTCGATATCATCACCCACGGTCACTTCTCCTGCTGCAGGCTGGACGCCCCATTTTCCTTTTGTTGGTTTAGGGATCATTTTGCAAATGTTTCTTATCAATGTGTATGTTAATGAAACGTTAAAGTTTTTATATCCCGAATGTGTAGCATCTATCAAGAGTTGTTCTTGTTCAGGGCCTAATCTTTTATAGACTGATGATGCTTTCACTTTGTTGAAAATTACGGAAGGGGGAACCTCCATCTCTAGTATATCTCTGTATGCCTGATTTAACACATCGTTTGTTGCCATTCCAAGTTTGGCAAATCTAGATCGGTCTCCCAGGTCCTGTCCAGAGGCCATTGGAGTGATGGAATCAGTCGCCATTCTCTGAAAAAAAAAACTCATTCAGTTAATTTGAATAGGACAGTTTGAAATTGCCAATAACAAAAACATATATATGTACTTGTAACCCTGGTCCATAAAACGGACTGAAATTGAAAAAGCCTTTTAAGGTGTGATAGCCTCTTCCAAAAACCACTGTTTACTTCAAATTAGAACCACACCAAAAAAAGAGAATCAGCAATAAAGAAGTAACAAGGTTGGATCTTGATTTTTAAAGGCTTAAACTTTTTTTGTCAAGAACATCCTTAAATAGTTTCTATACACATAGCTTAATTAAAAATCAAATCAAAAAATGGAGACAATTTGCTTCTTTTGGCTCTACCATGCTCTACAGTACATTAAATATGACATTTTTTTCTGAAAATCTAATGTTTCCCTCCTAAATCTTTATCCAATTAAAGCATGGAACAAAAGAAATTATAAGTCTTTTTCAAATAAGACACTGTAGTGTATAATTTTGACTATTAAAAATTTTGCCAAAAACATTAGAGTGAAATTTAGTTACCTTGCCTTTATTGTAGTTAAATGGGGAATACGTCCCATATACTTGCAATGTAGCAAATCGGAAGGGATCCACTTCGAAACGATTTTGAAGATTTTAAAACAATTTGCACTGGAACTCACTATCAAATTAATCAAATCAAACCTTTTTGTGGATGCATATGCCTTTTATCCACAAAAATAATCCATAGAAGGACGAAAACCCAATTATTTTTCTCAGTTTTTTTCTCTCGCTTCAAATTTACCTGCCATATTTACATTCGGGACTCTCTAGAGTGTTGGTAGTAAATGTACAGTAAATGTACTAGTGCGAGTTATCGCCAGTGTTTCTTTTGCTACATTACGAATACACGGAACGAATTCTATCGTTAAACCAGGTCCATAGGACATTCATCATTTTAACGATAGAAAATTCTATCTAGAGGTTTTTTAAATTAATACATATGAGGGGTGATCAAAAAGTTCGCAAACAACTTGAATAACTTCCATACAAGAAACAATATTTAGTTTTAATGTTGATTATATTTTAAATTAATCATCCCCGATTTTAA